TACAGAAATGGGACACATAACTGAGAGTGCGCCTTTTAGTCCGGTGCGCCTTATGGTCGTGAAAATACGGTATCAGAGAAACTGTTGGATTCTTGTTTAAAAATATGCAGCTTTTCTCCCATCCTGAATGTTGAGTCTCTCTAATGTTTAACAACTGCATCCATTAGCATTACATAAAACCAGTTGGACCCATAATGGCGTTACGTCACTCCTGAATTCCCTCAGCTCTGCTGACTCAACCCTAACTGGGTGTGACCAGCAGCTTAACCTGAATCTCACTCTGCTTTTTGTCTTTGCCAGTTTTTACAGTTCTGCTAGAAGACCAAGGAAGCCGAAGTCCAGCAAAACCTTTACAGAGCTGTAGGTAGAATTAATGGAACCACTTTTAGCAACTCTTTACTCTCTGCTACTTTACACATAAAGGTTTCCAGCATTGACAAACTGTTTACTGTTTCTATTCATAGAAGTTTGTAAGACCTACCAGGCGACGATGGAAAACCAGTTACAGAAGCTCGTAGCGGAGAAGAAGGACATGGTGGAGACCGTGATGGAAGTGTTCGAACAGGGAGCCGAAGTGGTGGCCAGCATCGCCGGGGACCTCTTCCCCGTGTTTTCTATCGCCGCTCCGATTGTCAAGCTGGCTCTGGACAATGTGGAAAGCAAAGAGGCCGCCTTCATGAAGGAGCAGTTCCAGAAGGTCCGTGACCGCCTGGAGGTGGTCTCCGAGGAGCTCCAGCGGATCAACGACGAGATCAAGAGGAGCGGAGTGGATGCCGCGTATTTCTCCGTGGAAGAAAACATCACCAACCAGTTCAGGAAGTACATGGACATCCTTAACGCCAAGCCTAAGTTCAGGGAGGTGAAGAAGAAGCTTTTCCTGGAACATTTTGCCAAAACCGGTGGAGACAAAAACCTGAACACCCTCTACAACGCCGTGATCGGAGACACTTTTTCTGGAGAGCCTATCCTGGAGATCATCCTGAACTACGAGGAGAAAAGCCGTCGCCCAATGGAGGACTTTTGCGCTCGGCTGAAGAAGCTCTTCTGCGTCGGGCTCATTGCGCTTTTAGGGCACGCTGCTCTCAAAGGGTACGACGAAGACGAGGCTCTGCTCAAAGAGTGGGGGGAAAAGATGAACACCGTCCAAGCTAAAATGAACGCCATTATTGAAGACTGCATCGTCAGCTTCCCTAAGCAAGCCGAACTGGATTCCCGACGACTGGTGAGGGACGAGGGGGGGCTAACCAACCAGGAGCTAGCTGACGCTATCATCGAGAAGTTAAGGAAGAAGTATGACTGGGTGAGTTGGTCTGTGCGCGTCTTCAGGTCTCCCTCAGGCCTGTTTGCCAGCAAGAAGGTAAACGACTGCCCGACCGGGAAGAGTCGCTTCCGAGTTCCCACATCCGACGAGAAACGTAACGTCTGGGTGTCGTACAGCTCCTCGCCTGAGCCCGTGGATAAGAATCGCATCCAACAGCTGATCCAGAGTCAGAAGAAACTGGACGTGGTTTCCGTAGCCGAGTCACTGTTCGCGAACTTGCCCGGCGACTGTGTTGTCCACAGCGTGAAAAGCAGCAAAGATCTGGCCTGCTCCTGGAGCTTCAAGGATGAACTTCATTACTGGGAGGAGCACAAGAACTTTTATCTCTGTGTTCATTCAGCTTAAAGCTTGAAATAAAAAAAAAAAAAGAAAATCATTGATGTATTTTTCCTGTTTGCACATAGTAAAGCAATCTGCTGCCGCCACTTTCCTCTGGCTTTACCCGTGAGATATTTCACTTTCTGTGCCTTAAAATGTTTGGATGAAGGTTGAGTAAGTGTCTTCTGTGCTGCTGGGATCAAACTGAGATTTTCTCATGAGGACATCAAGCTAACAACTGCTCAGATTAAGGCCATTCAGGAAGGACCTTTAGACATCATCGCCTGGTTCACAAGGCAGACGCCAAGATGCCCATTTTGGTTTCAATCTTCCCTCTCTGACAAACTTTGATTATTAAGATGGCCCCTAAGATAATTATATGAGGTATTCATGCTTTGTGTGGTGTGTTCGGAATGATCTGGGCTCTTTATAAAGACGTCGGCTCGGCTTCGACCCTAAACCAAGAATATCCTGGGCTAAGTGTTTGTGGGGCTTTCTGAGGGCAGACAAGAACACAATCTGCTGAATATGACATGCAGCCAATCCAAAAAGGGTTCTTTTAAACGTAGGCTTTCCCTCGAGAGAATTTTTCCTGCAGGTTTTAAAGGTTTACCTGCTTCTGCAAAGCTGATTTTCATTGATTGCTGATTAACAAGCTTTTGCTGAACTGCAGTCATCAGAATCAGCTGTGCTAAAGCTGGGAAACATGTAAAACCTGTAGGACAGCGGCACTCCATGATGCCTTTTTTTAAAGTAAAATAAAAAACTTACCAGTTTAGAGAGAGTACTGCCTTTCCTTCTCTATTAAAATTCCTCCACAAAGAACCTCGATCACTTCTTCGTCCTCGACGGCCATGTTTTATTCCAAATTCATGTTTGATCTGGAGAGGTTTTAACATCTGAATGATCTGAAGATAAGTATCTATCGAAGTGCGCTGTACAAGCCGTGTGGCTGTACACCTCACCGTAGGACCAGACATGTTTAATATACGGGTTTTTATCCTCATTTTTGGCTGTCTTAGGTTTTGAAAATTACCCGACTGATTATAAATGTTGCCTTGGGAAGCATGCATGACACAAACAGATGCCGTTTCTCAATATGCGTTCTTGAGCGTTCTCGTGTGCTCGTGACACATCATCAGCCTCAGCCCAAGTACTGTTCCAATTCTCAAGAACGCCAGATCGAGAACGCATCAAATCCCCGGATGTTGTTCTCACCCCGCCCTCTTTATCAAGCATGCATCAGAGCAGACTTGTGCGTTGAAATCGTTTGAGGCGATAACATTATACATTTAAGCCTCCCTGTGTGGCCTGTTTACAGAGNCTAGGCCTGAGGATGATGACGTTTCACGAGTACATGAGAACGCACAAGTACACATACTGAGAAACGGCCATTGTTGGGGCGCACACACGGTTACAGTATGAAATGTCTCTCCTCCTGCTACCTGATATAATAAAAAACATGTAAGAACAGGACATTTAGTCCAACTACAGTCCATGTCTGAGAGCTCTTCTTGTCTAACGGCCTCCAGCATGGACACCGTCGAGCCTTTTCTGGCTCCAGTGACAGTTCATGCTTGCCTCTGTCACAGCGTTGCATCCGGCTGGTCATTCCAGTGGTTTGTCTGGCGGTCTGATCCACTACAATAGTTGTGGTCATTCAGCCTCTTGTAGTCCTGCTTCATTTTCTTCAGCTTGTCCCGCACCTGCTTTGTGGTGTGCAGAGCCTTTATTTTGGCCAGTCTGAATGCAATCGGGGCGTAGATGCTGTTATTGCGCATCACCGACTTAAAAAGTCCCCTATAATTCCTTTTTAATTATCTAAAATATTCTTTCTGTCATGGTTTGTGGACATTAAGATCTAAAAAGAAGCGTCATCTTCTGGTCAGACCCTTTAATGCAGTGAAAGGGTGGAGTCAGAGTGAAAATATATTCATGGCCATGAGAAGACCAGTGATTGGAAGTTGGAGGGGATTTTGCTGCTATTCGACTGGCTTTACACTGGGAAGGACCATTTTGAATGGCCGATACTGTACATAACTGCAAAACCTGTGTGTGATGACTTTAACAAAACAAAACACAGATTTAAAGATGGGGGATGGAATGAAAAAGAAGCCAGACAGTCCACCAATCACTGGTCATTGCAACCCCGCCCCCCCAAAAGCCTGATTAAGCAGAGGCCCCCTTGGTTACGCAGTTCAAAGGGAATTTTTCCTCTCCACTGTCGCTACCAGCATGCTTAGTGTGAGGGATTGCTGAAGAGTCAATCAACTGGTTTTCCTTAGATAGAAAACTTTGAATCAATCAAACTGGATGATCTGGTGAACGGTAAAATGCCTTGAGATGACATGTGTTGTGAATTGGCGCTATAGAAATAAACTGAATTGAATTGAGGGACCAAAACCCCATGAAAGGAAAGCACAGATAATGCAGATTAGGCGGGTAATTCTGTATTTTGAGAAGTCACAGACTTTTGAGCAGCTGTGAAAAAGGGGCACTTATTTAACTTGGTTAACTCATGTGACAAAACCACACACAGAGGTCAAAGGTCAAAACATCCTCAATATAAGCAGAATACAAATACACAAGCTCTAAAGTCAATCTACACCAAGGAATCTTAATCTTCTGAGAAGACGCACCTGAGTCTCTGTGAACATTTATTAATAAAAATAAAAGTAGAGAAGCTCAGGCGACTGTCAGTGGCTGAACCCGGATATGTAAAAGTCTCCATTAAAATTTGAATACGGTATTTGGTTTCTACTGAAATCCCTCTGACTATAGAAACACATAATTGTCAGAAAAGACCAATGCAGTGACAGGATTATATTGGTTCTTGCCTGATTATATAATAAAATATCTCTATAGTTCTGCTGCTATAGGCTTAGACTGCTGGAGGACAAAGGGACCCCTATTTCATCATTCTGCTTCATTCTATCTCTATTCTCCCACTCTGCAGAATCTGTTAGTTCACTCTCTAAAGTTGTCCTTTTTCACATAGTAGCTGTGATCTGGTGAACTGTAAAGCGCCTTGAGATGACATGTGTTGTGAATTGGCACTATATAAACTGAATTTAATTCAATTGAAAATAATAAAACCAGAATATTTATTGTTCTGTAATGAACTCCAGAAAACCAGCAACAGATCAGGGTGTTGATGTTAAATTTATCAGAGAAACTGTTGGATTCTTGTTTAAAAATATGCAGCTTTTCTCCCATCCTGAATGTTGAGTCTCTCTAATGTTTAACAACTGCATCCATTAGCATTACATAAAACCAGTTGGACCCATAATGGCGTTACGTCACTCCTGAATTCCCTCAGCTCTGCTGACTCAACCCTAACTGGGTGTGACCAGCAGCTTAACCTGAATCTCACTCTGCTTTTTGTCTTTGCCAGTTTTTACAGTTCTGCTAGAAGACCAAGGAAGCCGAAGTCCAGCAAAACCTTTACAGAGCTGTAGGTAGAATTAATGGAACCACTTTTAGCAACTCTTTACTCTCTGCTACTTTACACATAAAGGTTTCCAGCATTGACAAACTGTTTACTGTTTCTATTCATAGAAGTTTGTAAGACCTACCAGGCGACGATGGAAAACCAGTTACAGAAGCTCGTAGCGGAGAAGAAGGACATGGTGGAGACCGTGATGGAAGTGTTCGAACAGGGAGCCGAAGTGGTGGCCAGCATCGCCGGGGACCTCTTCCCCGTGTTTTCTATCGCCGCTCCGATTGTCAAGCTGGCTCTGGACAATGTGGAAAGCAAAGAGGCCGCCTTCATGAAGGAGCAGTTCCAGAAGGTCCGTGACCGCCTGGAGGTGGTCTCCGAGGAGCTCCAGCGGATCAACGACGAGATCAAGAGGAGCGGAGTGGATGCCGCGTATTTCTCCGTGGAAGAAAACATCACCAACCAGTTCAGGAAGTACATGGACATCCTTAACGCCAAGCCTAAGTTCAGGGAGGTGAAGAAGAAGCTTTTCCTGGAACATTTTGCCAAAACCGGTGGAGACAAAAACCTGAACACCCTCTACAACGCCGTGATCGGAGACACTTTTTCTGGAGAGCCTATCCTGGAGATCATCCTGAACTACGAGGAGAAAAGCCGTCGCCCAATGGAGGACTTTTGCGCTCGGCTGAAGAAGCTCTTCTGCGTCGGGCTCATTGCGCTTTTAGGGCACGCTGCTCTCAAAGGGTACGACGAAGACGAGGCTCTGCTCAAAGAGTGGGGGGAAAAGATGAACACCGTCCAAGCTAAAATGAACGCCATTATTGAAGACTGCATCGTCAGCTTCCCTAAGCAAGCCGAACTGGATTCCCGACGACTGGTGAGGGACGAGGGGGGGCTAACCAACCAGGAGCTAGCTGACGCTATCATCGAGAAGTTAAGGAAGAAGTATGACTGGGTGAGTTGGTCTGTGCGCGTCTTCAGGTCTCCCTCAGGCCTGTTTGCCAGCAAGAAGGTAAACGACTGCCCGACCGGGAAGAGTCGCTTCCGAGTTCCCACATCCGACGAGAAACGTAACGTCTGGGTGTCGTACAGCTCCTCGCCTGAGCCCGTGGATAAGAATCGCATCCAACAGCTGATCCAGAGTCAGAAGAAACTGGACGTGGTTTCCGTAGCCGAGTCACTGTTCGCGAACTTGCCCGGCGACTGTGTTGTCCACAGCGTGAAAAGCAGCAAAGATCTGGCCTGCTCCTGGAGCTTCAAGGATGAACTTCATTACTGGGAGGAGCACAAGAACTTTTATCTCTGTGTTCATTCAGCTTAAAGCTTGAAATAAAAAAAAAAAAAGAAAATCATTGATGTATTTTTCCTGTTTGCACATAGTAAAGCAATCTGCTGCCGCCACTTTCCTCTGGCTTTACCCGTGAGATATTTCACTTTCTGTGCCTTAAAATGTTTGGATGAAGGTTGAGTAAGTGTCTTCTGTGCTGCTGGGATCAAACTGAGATTTTCTCATGAGGACATCAAGCT